CAGCATTGCCTGCTCCAAGGAACCAACCTAATGCACAAACAGAATTATTTCCTGCCAACGGTACAATACATTTCTAAACTGAAATACTTTGCTAAGCACTGTATGACGCAAACATGAACATCGTTGTATTTACTGCTTGCTTACAGGCCACTGCTGTCCATAGATGAAAATCTGACTGCGTGCGATGTCCACCCTGTTCCAAGCAAGAGCTAAACTAAGCTGGTCTGGTGCTGAGGCGTTGGCACCTGAATGGGTCCAGAAATATGATCATGTTATACCATGAAAAAAGAAATAGGTCTTTCTTAAGCCATGGCAGAAACACATGTTGTATTCTATGTTCCAGTGTTTAACAGCATTGTTTTTTTTCTGACAGTTTCTGTGTTTGAAAAAAAAACAAAAGTCTATTCTACTGATCAAAACAGACCCTTTTACTTAAGTGTTGGCAAGCAGCAGATTCCTCTAAATTTAGAATGAGTAAATCCACACTCCACTGAAAACGACTTACTATTCCTGCATTTAGCTTTAATGGCAACGTGTGTGTTGATAGAAAGATGCCAAACCATAGTTTGGTTTCTGTTCTTTGATTTACTGTACTATTTTATTTCACACACCAGCTGGTCTTGGCACAAAATGTGTTTATACCATTCTTTGTATTGGAAAAATCTTTGGGCAAAAGGCTTTGAGTTGTATTGGATTTGTGATCAGATCTACATTCCATGTTGTCTAAAGTCTATTAGCTGCTTTTCTCTGTTATGTTTTGGCCAGAGTGAGCCTGCAGCTAAACCTTATGTTGACTCCTCATGAGGCCGTACATCGTGGCTTTTGGGAAGCAGTAAGAGCCACAATCTTGATCAGCATTTTCTTATCTTACAGTTTGCGCTATGTTTGATTCCTGGGGTTTCCTATTTTCTAACTGAATCAATTCCCCTCTGAATCAGTACATGTTCCAAGTACCACCTTCTATAACATAACCTAGAAAAATGGCACATTTACTCTTGTGCTTAACAGTGAGGCGTTGCTTTGTTTTTGTGTGTGCGGGGGTTGTTTTGTTCTTTCAAAATCATCACTGCACTTTTTTTTTTTTCCTCTTTTTTTTTTTTAAGTCAGATGAAAGCTTTTCTTTTAATGACCCTCCCATGAAGATGGAATTTGTGCT